AATGTGAAAATCAGAACGCGGAGAAGATATAAAATGAATATTTTTTTCTGTCCCTGCTCAGTAATTAGATTGCAGCCTACAGACTCATGGTGGAATCCAAGTGTTGTTCCGATACGGACTTTAATGAGATGTTGTGATGGGAAGTTTGGTTTAGAGTGGGCGGATCCCTGCTTAATAACACGCAAAACAGGGCCTAGTAGGTGGAACATTGAGGAGGAACCCGTCTCTGACAGAAAGTGTGAATAGACACATGTCTCGCGACAGGGATTTGCTCTCCCCGAGGGAGGGTTCATCTCCCAGACACCGTGATCTTTTCCCAGAGGCATAGTTCATCTCTAAGAGATGGAAAAGATTCTGGAGGCAGAATCTCCTCCTCGAGAGACAGCTCATCCGGAGACAAATTATCCACGGCTCATCTTCTCGACAGGAGTTCAGGCTCAGCTATTACAGGGGCTCATTTTAGTGACAGGAGCTCATCTCCGACTGGAGTTTATATCCGCCATGAAGGGGCTCATTTTCGCGACATGGGCTCATCCCTAGGCGGACACTCCGCACCAGGGTTGCATCTCAATGACCAGGGTTCATATCTATGGAAGGGGTTAATTTTTCGCGACAAGGGTTCATTATCATGACAGGGGCTCATCCCCGAGACAGATATATTTTTTAAGACAACATCACTTCTCCGAGAAGCTTCTTGCTCCCCGTCCTCTCGACAAGGAGATAAGGATAGAGGCACCAATCGACAGGGGAACCATCTCGTAACAGGAGCTCCTTTCCATGCCAGGAGCTTATCCCCGAAAAATGGTATGCTTTTCGGAACGGAGGGTCTTCAATAGAGAGAAGCACCACGGCTAAACATCCAAGACAGTTTCGTCCTTATAGCGATACAATGGATGGCAGAATTATTCTAAAATAAAATGTATGACTGTTGCTTGCTTCAATATAAAATTTAATATCGGAATAAAATTTAAGAAAATAAAATATTGTCTATTTTAATTTTAACATATTTTTGACTTTTCCATGTTTTTATAAATAATATAACAGTTTCTATCTGGAACAATCTTGGTCAGGTATATATATAGACGTATTATCAGACAATCGGATAAGGCCAAATCTGTCTCATCGCTCAGTGGAATTCTTAAGTCATCAATACATATCTTTTTTACACATTTCAGAAAGGAATCGTCTTACTTAACGCCAGGGTTCGAGTATGGGCCGTCGGTGCTAAATTTTACATGAGTAGCGGAGGTTCCCCGCCAAATTGACAGAGAATTAAGCATGATAAAGTCATTGTCCGAGGCTGCTTTTGGCGAAATCTTGTCGGAACTTGCTTAATCGGGTTAATGAACGGACAACGGACAAGCACGTGGCAACGAATCGAAAAGGGTAAAAACCAGACCGTCTCGGGTTTAGCTGAAGGCTAGATACTAAATATAAGAACAATATATTTCCCGATGGTAAGTATGCAGGGCGGATCCAGAATGTTTTTTTCACGAGGTGTGGTCACCATTTCATATGTGCAGATACTATCGAATATATAGAGAATAATACATGCCTTTTTCCATATCACACCAAGTATCAATCCGAGACTGCAATATCAGCCCAAGGGCCGAAGGCCCTTGGGCTGATATTGCTGTCTCGGATTGATACTGGGTGTGATATGGAAAAAGGCGTGTTTTATTCTGTTTATTACATAATTACTAAAAAAATCTACTATCTTATGATTTATTTTTATTTTTGAAATATTGAAAAACGATTTTTTTCCCAAAAGGGGGGTGTTATGGGTTTTGCGGGCTGATACGGGTTTTGGGGTGTGTTACGGCGAGGGCTGATATGGGTTAGAGCAATTGTGTCGTATCGCATATACAAAATCCCCGTATTTATTAGTAAGTATGTAATAAAACCCGGTACACTCATAAACGTATTAATATTGTTTATATTGTTTCGATAATGAGAAAAGCTCTATAAACCTATATTAATCACTATTGTCTGCCCGATCGGTAGCGCGGCGGAGGGTCTTCATTTTGGAGGAAACCGGAGTAACTGAAGAAAACACGCGATGTCGGGCATGTGATCCATATCTGAAAAGGTATGATCGGACTATCAGGAAATCGAACCATGGCCGTCATGATTACATCAACCTGTATCATCTAATCCCTCAGAATAATCCTGTAATCTCCGGTGGTCAGTACATGAATCCTGTAATCTCTGGTGGTCAGTAACATAATCCTGTAATAGTTGATGGTCAGTAAAATAATCCTGTAATCTCTGGTGTTCAGTAACATAATCCTGTAATCTCTGGTGGTCAGTAACACAATCCTGTAATCTCTGATGGTCAGTAAAAGAATCCTGTAATCTCTGGTGGTTAGTAAAATAATCCTGTAATCTCTGATGGTCAGTATAATAATCCTGTAATAGCTGGTGGTCAGTAAAATAATTCTGTAATCTCTGATGGTCAGTAAAATAAACCTGTAATCTCAGATGCAACCCTTGATGGTCAGTAAGACAATTAAGCATCCTCTGATGGTCAGAATCTAAGATAATTCTGTTTTCCCTGGTCTGTATACAAGATAATTCTTATATTTGATGGTCAGTAAAATCCTGTATTCTGTGGTTAGTATCTTAGATTATCCTTATGACTGATGACCAGGTCACTTACCAAGATAAACTTTATCTTTGATGGTCAGGTTAAATATAAGATAATCTTTATCTCTAATGGTCCGATACATTTTGTTTGTATCTAAGATAATCTTTATCCCCGATGGTCAGGTAAATTTTGTATGTAATTAAGATAATCTTTATTTCCGATGGTCAGTTAAATTTTGTATGTATCATAGATAATCTTTATCTTTGATAATCAGGTAAATTTCGTATGTATCTTATATAATCTTTATCTCCGATGGTCAGGTAAATTTTGTTTGTATCGAAGATAATCTTTATCTCCGATGGTCAAGTAAATTTTGTATGTATCATAGATAATCTTTATCTTTGATAATCAGGTAAATTTCGTATGTATCTTATATAATCTTTATCTCCGATGGTCAGGTAAATTTTGAATGTATCTTAAGACAATCTTTATCTTTGATGGTCAGGTAAATTTTGTATGTATCTAAGATAATCTTTATCTCCGATGGTCAGTTAAATTTTGAATGTATCTTAAGACAATCTTTATCTTTGATGGTCAGGTAAATTTTGTATGTATCCAAGATAATCTTTATCTCCGATAGTCAGGTAAATTTTGTTTGTCTGTAAGATAATATTTATCTCCGATGGTCAGGTAAATTTTGTTTGTATGTAAGATAATCTTTATCTCCGATGGTCAGGTAAATTTTGTTTGTATCTAAGATAATCTTTATCTCCGATAGTCAGGTAAATTTTGTTTGTCTGTAAGATAATATTTATCTCCGATGGTCAGGTAAATTTTGTTTGTATGTAAGATAATCTTTATCTCCGATGGTCAGGTAAATTTTGTATGTATCTAAGATAATCTTTATCTCCGATGGTCAGGTACATTTTGTATGTATCTAAGATAATCTTTATCTCTGATTGTCTTCAAAGATAATCCTGTAACTTAACTGTCAATATTTGTATTATTCCTGTTTCATCTAATGGTCAGTATCCAAGATAATCAGTGAGATAGTCCTGCAGTCTCTGTTGGTCACTACGTATTCTGATGACCACCGTCTCTGTTGGTCAATACCTTGTATTCTGATGACCACCGTCTCTGTTGGTCAGTACCTTGTATTCTGATGACCACTGTCTCTGTTGGTCAATACCTTGTATTCTGACGACCACTGTTGGTCAGTACCTTGTATTCTGATGACCACCGTCTCTGTTGGTCAGTACCTTGTATTCTGATGACCACTGTCTCTGTTGGTCAATACCTTGTATTCTGACGACCACTGTTGGTCAGTACCTTGTATTCTGATGACCACTGTCTCTGTTGGTCAGTACCTTGTATTCTGATGACCACTGTCTCTGTTGGTCAATACCTTGTATTCTGACGACCACTGTTGGTCAGTACCTTGTATTCTGATGACCACTGTTGGTCAATACCTTGTATTCTGACGACCACTGTTGGTCAGTACCTTGTATTCTGATGACCACTGTTGGTCAGTACCTTGTATTCTGATGACCACTGTCTGTTGGTCAGTACCTTGTATTCTGATGACCACTGTCTCTGTTGGTCAATACCTTGTATTCTGATGACCACTGTCTGTTGGTCAGTACCTTGTATCCTGATGACCACTGTTGGTCAGTACCTTGTATTCTGATGACCACTGTTGGTCAGTACCTTGTATTTTGACGAGCACTGTCTGTTGGTCAGTACCTTGTATTCTGATGACCACTGTCTGGTGGTCAGTACCTTGTATTCTGATGACCACAGTTGGTCAGTACCTTGCATTCTGATGACCACTGTCTGTTGGTTAGTACCTTGTATTCTGATGACCACAGTTGGTCAGTACCTTGCATTCTGATGACCACTGTCTGTTGGTCAGTGCCTTGTATTCTGATGACCACTGTTGGTCAGTACCTTGTATTCTGATGATCAGTGTACAGGATGACCTCATGTCCTTTGATGTATTCAAATCAATCATGTATTATTCTACCTGTGCATTATAGTGAATGCTATAAATAGAAATGTGAAACTAAAACAAATATGTTTAATATTTCATGTCAACTTTCGACCTTGACTTTTGAGGCAGAGGCTTTATTTCCCATAATAACAAATATAAACATTGTGGCAGTGATAAATGTAAATCAGGGCCTTAACAGGCGTTACAACAATATTTATATCTTTATTTCATTCTTATTTGCCAATAATGATAAAATTATATTTTGGTCCAATAATTTCAGACTTGAAATTGTAGAAAGATGATGACCGATAATTCTTCTTATTTTAAAAACGAAACTAATTAATATTATCTACTGATTTTTCTCTATTTAACACTGCACACAAGAATGTATACGATTCTCAATTAAAAAATTACAAAGAGAACTTTTTGTTTTTGTAAACTTTTAATTACAAAAATAGAGAATAGTTATAACAATTTCAACAGGGTATCATATCTACTTGTTGTTTCTAGTCCATCTCTCAAACCTGCCCACAAATACAGGGGCACTCAACCGCAGCATCTCACCACTTAGAAACCGCAAAAGCACAACACTTGTACTGGGATAGGAGAGGCTGATTCTCCATAACCTTTGACCTAAACACAGGGATGTGACATCACACGGAACAAATGGTGCCATGTTTAATGAGCTGCATAGAACTGGTGCTGCCACCTGTGTAACATACTCTTAAGAACTTGTGCTGCCACCTGTGCAACAGGTTTCACAGAACTGGTGCTGTCACCTGTGCAACAGGTTTCACAGAACTGGTGCTGCTACCTGTGTAACAGGTTTCACAGAACTGGTGCTGCCACCTGTGTAACATACTCCACAAAACTGGTGCTGCCACCTGTGTAATAGGTTTCACAGAACTGGTGCTGCCACCTGTGTAACATACTCCACAGAACTGGTGCTGCCACCTGTGTAACATGTCTCACAGAACTGGTGCTGCCACCTGTGAAACATGCTGCACAGAACTGGTGCTGCCACCTGTGCAACAGGTTTCACAGAATTGGTGCTGCCACCTTTGTAACAGGTTTCACAGAACTGGTGCTGCCACCTGTGCAACAGGTTTTACAAAACTGGTGCTGCCACCTGTGTAACATGTCTCACAGAACTGGTGCTGCCACCTGTGCAACATGCCCTACATCTAACTGGTGCTGACACCTGTGGAAGATTATACAAGTTCAAAAGCATATGCAAAGGAGTTCTAGATGTTGACCTGCTAGCAGGTGGCACCATCTACCAATGATTATTTCAATCCCATGGTGCAACTGTGCAATGGCTAACCCCATTACCGGATAAGAGAGATAGTCATATCATGAATGGTACTTGAGCAGACTGAAGTGCCACCTGTAGGATAAGGAGCAACAAAGGGGAGAGAACCAGTCCAAGATAAAGAAGAGCCAATCAGATGTCTTTTTGAAATGATCCTACTGTTGTTATACACAGTCTGGGGGAATGTATATCTGTATCTAATCTACCATCTGTCTATACGTACATGTCAGTGAGTGACAGACAATCATGCTAGTACCCTACAAAACGTGTCTTGCTGCCGTTTTTTATGAAATGTGAGAAATTGGCTGTGTCTTACAACAAACAAATAGAGTTGTGAGTATCTTTCATATAACAAAGTTCTAATCTGTGCTTTTTATCATTTAAAAAAAAATCATTCACCACTTTCTGGTAATTTTACCAATACTGAATGCAATTTAAAAAAGAAACAACATTTGGGTTGAACAATAATAGTATATTTCTTAAGTCTCACATAAATATTTTATTGAACAGAAAATTGATTTCAATTTTTTCATTATTTTTCTACCAATACTGAATGCATTTGAAGTTATCAAAATGTAAAACATAACATTTTTTCTCACCATTCAAGCAAACAAATGATATTTGATGCTGGCTAGAACATCAGTAACATTACTTATTTGTTGTTGTTTTTTAAACAGAAGAGGAACTAACCAGACTGACCTACTACGTACAACAGACTTTGATATATATACCCTTGGACATCTGTGAAGGGGAAACCTACTGACTAGAAATGTCACATCTTTCCGTGTCCATGGCGAGAAGACAAACCGCAATTTTCTCGTAAATGTTACGTAATACAGCGTCATCATCATCATCGTCATTATTATGCTCCGAGCTTGAGCTTACAATTTACACGAAGAGTGTGATGAAAATATTATATTCCACGAGCACAATACCTGCTATGAACGGGAGAGGTGAATATTGGACTTTTTTCAGCACACGAACAGATACCCCCTGTCGCACTCCAGTCAAACTTCATTTTTTATATTATACATATATGCTATGTGATCTAACTGTTGTACAGGTAAACACACTATTCCTCAGCGCACCCCTGTTAACCCAACTCTAATATTATACATTCATTTAGCACGATAACACACTCGTTTCTCGTCTTTTACACAACATGCATGCAATTCATTTACAACAATGGATATGAAAAGGGACTGTCATTAGCAGGCCCCGGTGGAGGTATATTGTTATCTCTTGATCTATACTTTCACTTTGCTAGTATAATATGCAACTATAATTTAAATAATTTCTGTACTTCAAGGAATGAAGCCTTCAGTGTTTTCTTTGAAGAAATCGTTACTTAATTGATGAAATTGATAATACAAACAACACCCATGGCAATGTTTAAATCTGTGTGAAACTGTTCATCCTAACACTCACAGGTAAGAAAATTTAGCTGCAACAATAATTTCTGTATTTAAGTTGTACAATTCTAGAGTAAAAAAGGTGCCAGTATGCCTATTGCCAACCTACTTCAATTAAAATTTCAACAGATGTGACACCGTGTTGTTTTTCATAACAGCAACCTGCATGCCGACTCATTTTTTCTGGTCTAGTGCACAAGATGGGAGGATGTGGGAGGGTTGATGGTCTTTATTGCAGTAGGATATGTGCGTGCATACATAGCACTGAATACATCTATTCACTAAAATCTCCTGGATACGAGATGGCGAAGTGAACACATCATCTTGTGGTTCATACATGATCAGTGAACGCACTATCAAAAGTCTTGTTCTTGCGAACCCGGTAAATACATGTTCCAACAAGTCGCGAGGACATGTTCCGAATGAGTGAAGATCACACATTCCCCAATTAAGAAGTGACCATCACACACAAATCAGTGAACATTGGGAGTCAAGATAACTCATTTCCCTTCCCTACGATCTTATTGTGTACAGACCTTATAAATTACAAAAAAAATCATCAATGAAATAATCTTCACTTTACAATTATTCTGAACGTGAAGCGAATTTCTAGAATGAGCATGCATACAGTGTTATATGTCCACTGTGGGACAATGACCTGAGTGAAGTGTTGTCTATCCATAAAAAACCTAGGGAGAAAAACGTGAACAACAATACCGACAATACTACACGAATACCATCTACCTGATTTTCTCATATATGGGCCGACAACTTTCCTTTATCAATAAGAATGAAAATGGCTTCAAAGCGGCCTGCATTCATGATCTGAACAGGATTTGTTCCAAAAAAGAAAGTGCTGCTCGATTTTCCCCAAAAGGAACGAGAAAAAAAAAAAAATTATTCACACATCTTAATATATCTATATTCATATATATACGATCAACAGCACTCCCAGCCTGTTGTCAAATCGTCGTTATATTGTTACGCCTTGCATTTCTTCATCGACACAAAATTCATTCTGATTCACCATCTTACTGCAGTCGCACAACTTCATACACAATTGATCTGAATCACAACACAATCCATTCTAGTGTCAAAATCCAGTGACCTTGGGAATGCACACAAGGTCAAGGTCATAAGGGCCGTACACAATTATTTCCACATCAATGTCTATATATATATTTTTTTGCTGGAGAAAAAAAGTTACTGGAAACAATGGGGGGGAAAATGGCCTCAAATATTTACACATGTTTGATCAATATTTTTTAATCACAGGGACTATGTTTGGGCAAGATGACTCCGTCTAATTATGTTCGTACTCGGTGCTACGGTTCCTCCCATCTACATATACTCGTATGTTCATGAGGTAAATATAGCACTCTGTGTAGCAGGGTAAGTCTGTTTCCTTGGCAACTAACGAAGTTACCAATGGTAACCACTACCACATGAAATCTGCCATTCAACATTTAATCCACATCAAGAAATACCACGAGGAAAAAAGTGTTTATGAACCTGTTCACACTTTGAGTTCACTTAGAACTGGATTTCTTAGGTAGGGACACCCACAGAAGCCGACAAGCGTCTTTTTGAACAGCCGGTCCTCTAGTATGCTCATAAACTGGTACAAATAGTTTCGTTGGTCTATTTCATCTCTCTATTGGTGTCTTCCTTCAATATTTAGCCGAATTCTGTCCTTTCAGAATACAACACAGGTTTCCACCAATCAGCAATGAGCTTACATATGTCCATCTTGAAGTGAATACCGCCTTTCACCAAGAGTTCGGGCAGGCTCAGTGAAACACTTGTGGTGGCCTATAGGAGATCTGTTAGATGCACGGTTGTGCCGTTTAAAATATGACTTCATACAGGGTGGCCTTTTTGTCGCCTGAACCTGTCACGATGTATTTGTCATCAGTTGATATGTCACAGCTCAGCACTGACGAGGATTCCTTTGACTGAAACAGACAAAGGCAAAATGTTATTATTACCGTAAGGAGATAGATGAATGTTTGCGAAACCAGTGTATAGTTAAAATATTATCATTTATTCCATTATTGCTATTTGTTCAGTTACTTCTAGCTCAGTTTTATTTATTTGATAATTCAGTGTGAAATAACAGCATCAAATACAATGTCACAACACATGTGATGACATAGTTGCCTTATGACATCACACATGCCTTGTGCCATCTTGTCTGTCTTTCATCAAATTTTTTCATGATTGGAAAAGTTAAATAATGATTTTTGTACAGGGAACAGCTAGATTTTCTAACCTTCCAGATGAACCAGATGCTTTCTGGGCGTTTTATGATAAGGAACTGAAATATATTTTAGTGATAATTAAAAAATATGGAATATTCCTCCTGGAATTTAAAAAGAAATGATCTGGAAAAAAAGTTTGTTCAGATCATGTGAGCCTAGATCAACATTGCTGCTCCCCCCCAGATAGTAACTAGACCATCCTGATTCCCCCTTTTTTTTTTGCACTTTTCAAAGCAACTAATATCTCTGCCAGTTTTCAGCCAAGATCAGTATACTTAGGATGGGATCTGACCATAATCACGAACATCATTCAATAATAAATACTAGGAATTCTCGCTTGATCCTGTGCCAATTCCTATCAGATTTTGTCAGCATCAAAATAAATAAATATCAAACCACAATCTCACTTCTAAATCCAAAAGGCTTTCGTGAAGCCTTCGAAATCATCCGCAAACAATTACGGTTTTAACTACCTGCGAATGTACCTGTGTTCATCACTAAGTGAAAAGCACTCCACCTTCCCATTAGGTACGCCAGGTATGCCCAGACTTATTTGCCAGCCCTTCGTTCCCCATAGCCACATACAAATTATGATAGATGTTCCTCCCCAGTGCCTAAGCATGTCGGTAAATTTTCTCCATTTCTAAAACTAACCCGGAGTGGCTAATCATTAAGGCATTAACCCCGAGTCCTCCACTTCTGTTTTAATTTAATCTCAATACTCGGAACAGCTGTGTTGGTTTATGGTGTTATGGCTACACAAGTAACCAAGTAAAAATCATACATCACCGATCATACATTTATGAATGAACGATCTGTAAGTATCTCTGTGAAAATGAAAATTTTATTACAAATGTGGTTTTCTTGTCTAATCTTTTTAGAATAATTCAATTTCCAAGACAACAGCTTCGATAGAAGCAGACCTTTGTCACAAAGTGTTTGACCAGAAGTCGTAAAACTGCAATAAATGTCCTATTTATAAGTATACAGAGAGTGAAATGAAGCAGGAGAAATAATGATGCATAGAGCATGCGACAGCTGCACTGTCTGTATCACTTTGTAAGTTGAACCATGTGGTGGGTTGTACAAGTACATAATAATCATGGCTTCTGTTTATCGTGCAATACTTCACATACCAGCCTACACCTCGGTCCATAGCCTACCTACATCTAAGATATCAGCCCACACCTCAGACCCCTGCCTATACATCAGCCTCTAGCCTATACCTTAGATCCCTGCCTACACTCCAGCATCAAGCCTACAACAAAGATCCCAGCCTAAACTAAAGACCTTAGCATATACCTCAGATCCCTGCCTACACCGAAGATCCCAGCCTACACCTCAGATCTCTGCATACACCAACAATCCCAGCCTACACCTTAGATCTCTGCCTACACCATAGATCCTTGCAAATACCTCAAATCTCACTTCATATTCTAGGCTAAATGTAGATTCCTTGCCTCCCCCTAAGATCACAGCCTATGCAACAGACCCAAGCCTATAGAACATATTCAAGTCATTACCTCAAATCCAAGGCTATACAACAGACCCAAGCCTATACAACTCAGATCTCTGCCTAAACAACAGAACAGACCCAAGCCTATACAACAGATCCCAGTCATTACCTCAGATCCAAGGCTATACAACAGACCCCAGTCATTACCTCAGATCCAAGGCTATACAACAGACCCAAGCCTATACAACATATTCCAGTCATTACCTCAAATCCAAGGCTATACAACAGACCCAAGTCTATACAACAGATCCCAGTCATTACCTCAGATGCAAGACTATAAAACAGATCCTAGCCTACAACCCAGCCCTAATCTTACATCCAAGATCCTAGCCTACACCAAAGATCCTAGCCTACATCCAAGATACTAGCCTACACCAAAGTTCCAAGTCTATACCACATATTCCATCAAGCCTATAGTTCAAATCCTTGCCGTCACCATAAATCCTAGGCCTACAAATTGTAGGCTAAATCCGAGATCCTAGAATAAACCATGTGGACAGCTGTGAGCCGTCTAGACAAGTTAAAGTTGCTGCATACCTGGAAGATACTAGCACCATAAGGAGTGCGCCACGCATTTAGGAGGTTGTCCTTGCCCGTACTGACGAACCACTTGCCACAGTATGCGAACTTGAGTGACAGGACGCAGCTCTCGTGGAGGTGTAGTTGGTACTTGTCTGGTTTACTGCAGTGTAACACTTCCACGTTACTACTCTCCATACTGAAACATGGAACGCAACACTGATTACATACTGAAACATGGAAGGCAACACTGATAACATACTGAAACAGATAATATACTATTTACATACTGAAATATACAACATAACACTGTTTATGTACTGCAGCAGGGTATAATACTATTTACATACGGAAATATTGAACATAACACTGTTTATGTACTGCAGCAGGGTATAATACTATTTACATACTGAAATATTGAACATAACACTGTTTATGTACTGCAGCAGGGTATAATACTATTTACATACGGAAATATTGAACATAACACTGTTTATGTACTGCAGCAGGGTATAATACTATTTACATACTGAAATATTGAACATAACACTGTTTATGTACTGCAGCAGGGTATAATACTATTTACATACTGAAATATTGAACATAACACTGTTTATGTACTGCAGCAGGGTATAATACTATTTACATACTGAAATATTGAACATAACACTGTTTATGTACTGCAGCAGGGTATAATACTATTTACATACTGAAATATTGAACATAACACTGTTTATGTACTGCAGCAGGGTATAATACTATTTACATACTGAAATATTGAACATAACACTGTTTATGTACTGCAGCAGGGTATAATACTATTTACATACTGAAATATTGAACATAACACTGTTTATGTACTGCAGCAGGGTATAATACTATTTACATACTGAAATATTGAACATAACACTGTTTATGTACTGCAGCAGGGTATAATACTATTTACATACTGAAATATTGAACATAACACTGTTTATGTACTGCAGCAGCATTTAACACTATTTATATACTGAAATATACAACATAACACTGTTATGTACTGCAACAAAGAATAATGTATTTTATATATAAAACACTGTTTATATTCTGCCTGGTAATACACCACTCTTTATGTATGATTCCTTGTATATCACTGTTTGTATACTGATTCTTAGTACAGCACTGTTTATATACTGGCTTATAGAATAACACTGTTTATATACTGGCTTATAGAATAACATTGTTTATATACTGGCTTATAGATTAACACTGTTTATATACTGCTGGTTAAGAAAAATTCTACTGTATACAAACTGCTACAAAGAGTTCATGAGAATAAATTATCTTGGAAGTACAACCTAATTTTGCTAAGTGTAAATAAAGATAGATAACGGTGAGCTATCTTTGTCTCTCTCTCCTGTCTCCAAATAAGCCTTGTACTTTAAGCCACTTACCATGTAATCTATTTATTCGACAACCTTTAAAGTTCAAGCGCGTTACATACACAAGCTAACATGTTTACATATATCTGCTGTCCTTATAAATAAACATGACATCAGTCCTGAGGGTGAATGTTGTGCAAACAATTACAATGCAAAACTTGACAGCTTGTACAATATTATAATAACCACATTGTTTTTTTATGACATCGTATAAACACTTAGAAGAACTTACCCGACGGCCAGCCACTCCCCAGTGGGACAATACCCTAGTGAGAATATCTGTGAACTGAAATCGTGTTGCTGTAACTGACGACCCTGAAAATACAAAACAAACAGAAATTGGCTGATGTTTACTATAATTCAAATGTGTAAATTCGTTGTGATTTTATTTTTACAATCTGTACTTTTTCAATAAAAAAGTTGTCTAACCCCTATAACAAAATCTGCAGCCCTGCGCTTTGTACCCTTGTATCAAAATTGAAAAATACATGGAAAAAATGTTACTGATGCAGAGGTCATCTAGACAGGGTTTGAATTTCAGAATTTATATCAAAAGCTATATTTTATAGTGGATTAAATTTCACGACTGAATCTAGGTGTACCCTGTGACTGATATACCTACTGTGACCTCAATATCTGTACCAAGAAGTCCTCGACTGTACCCAATGACAAAGGTATACTTATTGACCTTTATATATACCCAGTGACCTCTGTACCCAATAACCCAGTGGGCATTACATTTATACTTGATGACCCTTATATGTACTCGGACCTAGTGACCTCTGTACCCAATAACCCAGTGGGCATTACATTTATACTTGACGACCCTGATATGTACCCAGTCACCCCTCTGCCCTGACCCAGTGACCTATGAATCCAACAACCCAGTGGGCATTACATTTATACTAAATGTACCCAGTCACCCCTCTGTCCCCACCCGGTTACCCTCTGTGCCCTGAACCCCTACATCTGTAACCCAGTGGCTTTCCTTTTTACACTTAGTGACGCCTTTTTGGACTCAATAACCCTTCCCTATGTAACCCAATGGCTATCATATTTCTACTGAATGTCCAGGTGTCCTTACCTCTCTAAGGTCCCATGACCGGACCGTATTGTCAAGCCCGCCAGTCCATAATTTAGTACCGTCTGGAGAAATATCTATACAGCTAGCTCCATCTGTGTGACCTTGGAATTGTCTGAAATAAGAAAAAAGAATATTTTTGATAAAATCTCTGGAAAAGGATAAAACAATGGTATTTGTGGAAATTTTTCGAAACATATTTTATTGGTGCGAAAATAAACACGCACAATTATGGACTACCTTCGAGACCTATACCATACCAGTGTTACTGATGCAAAATTATCCACTTTAACATACTTTCTATTATAATTATTGCAATGATATTGTTTAGGAGTCCAATACACAAACAGAAGCTGGTCTAAATCAATATCATAACATCTGCAGTTATTCCTGAATCTAACAATCCTTCAGTTGCACTTCTGGCATTAATAACTAAATTTTAAACTTACAAGAGGAAAAAGAACTCTCAACATGGACTTCTCAATGCTTTCCATCAAAAAGTGTTACATTTCTCTTGAAATTTTACAGATTTTGTTTTTCTAAATTCATAAAACAAATGATGCTGTAGTTACAAAAGACATCACAAAATTTCCGACAGACCAATAATCTACGGCATCTTTGCTGGTGTTTACCTGACGAGGGTCTGATTATGGAGATCCCAGACTGCAATGTTACCGTCACTACAACAGCTGAAGCAGACCTTCGAGTCTGGACTAATGGCCAGAGCGTAGCACGCAGGTGCGCTTGAGGTCAGCTCCGCTTTTATCCGGGGAGTGGGCTGCAAAACAAAATGTAAATAAACAATCATGCAATCGTACAAATGACCTCACCAATCAAATTTTGTTTCATTAAGAAGCAGTGATACCATGAAAGAAAGTGATTTGGTAAGGGATTTATGAGGTATTCGATAAATCAAATTTGAAAACATTGAAATAAACTGCCACCAGACTAAAATTAATTTCTAAGATTACCAAAGATTTTTTGATATGTACTTCAATAGTTTGAAGCTGACTGTATTATGGTTAGCGTAAGTAGCCATATATGCAAAACATAGTGCTAAAATGTAATTATATATTATTTTTTTATGTAATTATATTTATTTTTTTTAAAGTTCAAAAACTCCTACAATCTAAAAAAAAATAGTACTCTGAACTGTAACATATGAATCACTGATTTACGTTTCTGAAGATATCCACAATGTAAATTAATTAATTTTCTTTTTTTTGCTCAATTATTTCGGAGAAACTGTGGAGATCAAAAGATCAGTGTTGCCTTAATTTCAATGATGTCACCGTCATAGTCTATAGAAGAATCAAGGCAGTGAAGAGACTTCGGAGCACAGTCATGCTCCCCAACGACCCCTGGTGCCCTATATACCGTTCTATGTCCCCTCCAACCACTTGTGCTACCAATCTACCAACACTTTCATTTCGAGTTATCAGGAAGTCGAACTTAAAAAAAAACATGACCTTCTTGACCTCTAATGCCATCTTGCTGAACTTACAAGTGCAAACCAAAGCCATGTTGTAATTACTAAGTTAGCAGCACCATCTCTATATATAGAGAAGAGAAGTTAATGGCTACGAACATGCAACAACTCGCACCGAATTTACAGACGAATTACTGATCATTGTCGGTAAATCACTTGATCTGCGGCACAAATGCCTGCAGTCACTTACGCCAGGCACAGTCACTAAGAAACGTCGTGACACGCAGGCCGTCTTTGTCATGACACAGGCTGCCACAGAGTCTAATCAACCATTCAATACTGTGTTAACAACCTGGATTGTCTACACACAGTCCGTCGATCTGCACACCAGATTGGCCGTTATAGTCGCACTACAAAGACAGTTTGGTGGCCTGTAATGACCACCAGCGTGATGTACTGCACACCATCATGAACCTAGCTTGGTAATAGGGTTTACTGTGTGATAAAGTATATAGATAGATGTAGGTATTTACCTGTACAGGCAGAAAGTGTTACCTGTACAACCAGGTATAGTAGTAAGGAGATACAGTGACTCATACCCATTTGCACGGTGCATATATAGTCAAACCTGCTCATACCACCACCTCTATAAAGAGACACCTGTGTTATAGAGGTCACTGCATATGTTCCATTTGTAGTGATTTGATTTTAAATTGAACCTGTATTAAGAGACCACTTGTGTAAAGAAACTACAGTTTGGACTTTCCAAGGGTCGTCTCTAAATACATGTTTAACTGTATGTATTATTACCTGCACAGGTATATATAATTACCTGTATGGCCAGGTATAGTAATTAAGAAATACTCACAGCGGCCAGGTCCCATATGGATAGTGTACTGGCTTCCCCTCCGACAATCAACGTTCTCCCGTCTTGAAGAAGCTTAATGGATCTGATATAGTTATCCCTTTGCTGCAAAGAAACAAGAGACCTTGCATGTAATCTAGCGATTTCTCCTTCATCTTTCTGCAAGCTTTCTGCTTCACTTAACGACAGATTAGCATCTGTAACAAGCTATGATACAGAGTCGTCGTCTTCAACCAATACCTGAGAAGCTCAAATGATAGATATAGTTTTTTTATCCTCCGTGCACTAAGTTTGAAAGCCCATTTGGATGACGTGAATGTTGTCTTAGATAGCATTTGCAAAGAACATCACTGACAGACAAGGAAGTCCCACTATTTTGTTTTTGCGGAAGCCATTGTAGAAAAGCTCTTCAGTTGCATGTGTGTGCACTCCTTATCTTGCGGTATCTATTAGTTCACAGGCTGAACGACTTTAAAGGAGCTATCGGGTCTTAAGGTACGGAACAAATTGACGGTAATTGTTTGGACGAAGCTACTCAAGTGACGATAATTACGGCACGGGACAAAGCGACAGTCAAGTGTTGGAACAAAGCAAATATAAAGGTTGACATTACCGAGATGGAACAAAGCAATTTACGTGTCATCTTCATCACATTTTTCGTAACCAGTTCTAACCTGTCGCGAAGACATATACTTAAAAACAGGAGAGGGGATATAAATTATACGAGTTAAGGTTTATGTCAATTAATTCTTCAGAGTTTAAATTTTAGAAATTACTTTAAACAATCTTCCCCTGCATATTTTTAAAGGTGTACCTGCTCAATTTCAACTTTGGAATTTAATGCTGTAAAACATTAATATTTATAACACAAAATATAAGCAATATTGTACATCTGGAACTTCAGTCTTTCAACATAAGCTGTAGTTATTTTCTTTTTCGTAAATTTTTAAATCTTGCTTATATTCAGGATGGGTCCAGTTTTTTATCCGAAAAATTTGGCATAGGAAGTTTCTTATTTATCAAATTGATGCAAACAGCAGGAATGGAACAACTAAGACAATCAAATTTTTTGGGTATTGATACTTTTGTTTAGTATAAATGTATTTTTATTTTATTTTATTATTGGCTGTAGGTTAGATAGCACCATTTAAAGTAAGCCAACTTATTGTTGTTTGTCAAGCACAAGACACTCCAGAATGAACAGTCAATAATGTAGGCGAGTGATGGTTACTTTACCCCCCCCCCCCCCCCCCCCCCCNGAAATTCAAAATATGTACCATTGTTCTCCAAATGGTTCTAAGCCCTAAAAACGTTAAATGTGTACATTTTTCTTGAATTGTTGTCGCCGCTAATGACATGTCCAAAGAATCAATAAAACAAATAAATAAATTTACGAGAACTAAAATTTCCATTATTCTGTGCAAGATTGTTTGCCAAGACAAATAACTGCTTTCTTGGCATGGGTTCATGCAATCACTTTTCAATATGTTCTAATATTTCCTTCAGCGGTTTCAAATCTACACTAGTTACGGTTTGATCAAAGAGATGTCTCAATCATTTTCAATATTTTTCCGATAACATCTAGTTGATGAAGATATCTCCGATTCAACAAATACTTTAATTGCTTCAGTCTGTTGTCAGCACCAACTGCCCTATTTTAGAAAGAGCAGGTTAATTGGGAAATTTAATCTTCATTTAAAAATTTATTTTTCAAATCAGTTGTTCACTCCCTGTATAAAATTCATACTTAGTACATTTCAAACTTTACAATGGCAATTGGAATTAATTTGAAAAGTTTGTTATTCAAAGTGATCAAAGACATCAGAAAATAATTTGAAACAAGTTGATTCACTCATCTGAAGTGATATGACGAAAAATGATGGGAGTTGAGCGAAAAAAAAGGACAGGACTGGAGAGGTGAGAAAAGTATAAGGCGAGATAAAGGTGAGCAAAATGAAAGTGTGAAGAGGTACTACTTGGTGGAAGTGCCAAAAAGAGTAATAAAGATAGGTAAGTGGAGATCTGTGATCAATGATAAAGATAGGTAAGTGGAGATCTGTGATCAATGATAAAGATCACAGAATCAAGAGGTGTGAATGATAAATGTTGATAAGAAACGAATGATGTGAAATATGAAATGAGAGATATGAAAGAGTGATAAGAACAAAGAGATGAATGAGAAGAAAGAGGAGATGAATGATGAGAAATAAGAGATGAGTATTGAGAAAAGATATGAGTGATGAGAATGAAGAGATGAGTGATGAGAAAGAGATGAATGATGAGAATGAAGAGATGAATGACAAGAAAGAGATGAGTGATGAGAAAGAGATGAGTGATGAGAATAAAGAGATGAATGACAAGAAAGAAGATATGAGTGATGAGAAAGAGATGAGTGATGATAAATAAGAGATTAGAACGAGGAGATGAGTGATGAGAATGAAGAGATGAATGACAAGAAAGAAGAGATGAGTGATGATAAAGAGGAGATGAGTGATGAGAACGAGATAGATGAGATGAGGTACTTACCAGACAGTCTAGTTGTGAGATGGGACTCTTGTTTCCTGGTTGACTAATGTCCCACACCTTTACACACCCCTGTAAAACAACCAAAACGATTACTATTACAGGGTTGGCTTTATAATGGTCTAAACGTGGGTTAATGTATCAAACACCATTCCATACAAGTATCTGCCTCTAAATGGTTCAGCTATACAGCTGACTAAGCTATCAATTTCAGTACTAGAGCTACACAACACACATTTGTTCAAATTTCACCAAAACTTTGAGCTATATCAAACATCAAGATTTGAAAGTTTCTTTATAAACAACAGAAAATCAGCGGAGTTCTTTTTCGTTGCATAGAAATCAGCAAGTCTGAATTGCTAAATGTAACGTCAATCAATAATGTGTTTTCGAGTGTTGCAATGCAGGCAAGTTCATCAACACACTAACAGAAATCAGATACGAAAAAACTTCCTTTTGTTTTTATTTCTCTACAATGATGGCACTTTATTTCGATGGAAATTAGACTCTGTAAAAGCAGCCTAATGGCTCATTATGATCCGTGGCCACCACCAGGGCGGCGAGACTTGCCTTGCCTCCGGTGTAGACGTGCCTCGTGGGATTACTGATAGTGACAGCACACACCACCTCCCCGTGGTTCAGTGTGTTGATCTGCCGTGCATGTCGCGGAATGCCCTGGCCAATCAGAGCATCTGGTGGAAATGGTACTGGCTGCATCTGACCATCAACGCTAACGTGGAAGGAATATGCTCTGGAAGAAAACACACGGAAACATTGTACCAGTGAAAAACTTTCTCTGGAAAAAACCCATGGAAACCATGTACCACTGACAAAAGCTTAACGCCCTTCTTGCATGAGATTTTAAAAACGTTATCAGCCATAATGGGTTTTATGCATGACTCTCTCGCGGGAAGTGTAAAAAAAAACGATGTCCATTATACTTGATTGACGACCGGTAGATAAAATGAACAAAATCTTGGCGGAAAAAAAAGGCCAAGTATGACTTTCAACTCTTCGTGCTAAGATCTTTTAAGAACAAAGCTGCCGACGACACATGGTCACCCTCCATTATCTAGTTCGTTTATTACAGAAAGTTTTGTTAAACAAGGCGTGCATAAAGTTCAGACAGGGGACCACTTCCAACACAGATGCTGCTAGTCTCGCGGCGACAGTATGTTTATAATTCAATTTTTTGTATCACGGCTTACTACGCCATCTTCTACTGTATTTTCTGTTGTCCGAATACAAATTCATCCCAAAGTGACTGGACTTTTCCAGAAAATTGTATTGCCAAATATTGATTTCTTGTTTATTAAGCCCAATAGCAGATTTTCAAAATATTTGAACAATATTCAATAGACATTGTTACTACCAATTTTAAAGTTAATAAAAATGTCTAGCTTAAGAACCAAAAGGACCAGGATGCTGCTTGAAACTGTTGCACAATAATGTATCTATGAAACCAAAAATCAACTGACCCCACCCCAAATCATCTGCCATTGAAAATACCAATCAAGTATCAGAGGTAAAGAGCTTAGCTCTAGTGTATAAAAACATTGTGCAGTACAGACAAACTATGTTAACTCATTCACCCCTGAAGACACATTTAAACTCTTCCAATTTAAAGGTTGGAATAGTTCATTACTAAATTTCAGGGATGAATAAGTTAACTTGGTTGATATCAAAACTCCTTTTTTTAAAGTGCAAAATAAGCAATGTTTTCACCTAATTTCAACCTCTCCACCTCCCCCTCTTGACAAAAATATTAAACCAACGATATTTAACCAACGGTACTGGACACACTAATATGATGTGTATATACTGTAAAATATATTTACATTATATTAATGTCTTATATCAATTAATTAATTTTAATGTGTCGAGCACCTGTGTATTCAACGGTTTCTGGAGTTCTCTGATAAATTACAGCCACTGCAAACTTTCTGGATCCTGTCTTTCGTTAAAAACAATTTTTGGTCCCTTGATGGTTAATTTTAAAATTTAACAAAATTCCGCTGAACAGAAATTGCAATCCCATACTTTCTTAGGTTATTCTGCAAGGCATCTTATTAGCAGATCCAGTGCACTGTGGTTACAAAATGTTATATTCTAGATCTGATGAACAAATTTACTGGTAGATAATAATACTTACGGCTTTCCCCCGGGGATTCCTCCCATGCCTGCCCCGGGCCTCATCGCTGGGGGGTGGGGGTCGAACAGAGGGCGGTGGTAGTTGCCGATGGCGGGGTTTGGGGAGATATTGTTGTGGAGTATTCCGTTGCTATAGCTGGCTGGAGGGATCTCCGCGGGTAGACCGTGGGGTCCGCCTGGGGGCATAAAAGGGGGATAGGAACCTGCCAGAAAAGGCCACATACGTCTTACACAAAAATACCAGCAAACAAAAAGATAGAAAGCAAAAAATAAATACTCAAGGCAGAGCAAATTTTTAAAAACAGGGAAATAAAATGAAGAAGTAAAAGCAAGGATTTTTATGAATATATGAAAAATAAAATCAGAAAGGAATTCAAATATTGCCTTAAATGATAGGAAAATCATTTGATTATTACTTGAATACGCTCATTATCAATTTTATTTTATATTTTGATACATGTACCATAATTTTTTTCGTTTTGTTGTGTTATGATATATGTTCCTGTTTTTTTTTTTTAGCGTAAAGTAGAAATTCATCACAACAATTATTTGGAACATGTACTGAGCGCAATATATTCTTCCTTTCTGAATTTTAAACATTCTTAAATAAAATGAAACAGAAACTGAAAGTGAAATGATATAAAACATTGAACAGACACAGACAACATCCATGCTACATTCATGCCCAAGGTAAGGACCGTAGGTTGGCCTGAGGTTAGCCTGAGCTACCTATATCAGGCCTGCAAGTCTGATCTTTGCACTAAATCTGAGTTCCGATATAAAAATAATTATATCAATATTCAGTACATTTTTCATCACAAATGTATATGTGGCTTCCAACTTAAGTTTTGGTTAAGCTAGTATTAGACTCCGATGCATGCAGATTAAGCAGGAAGAAGGTAATGTCCTGCAATTGTTTTGGTCATTTAAGGACCTGCCAGGTTTTTGTGGTGGAAAAACCGGAAGTAACATTATAATGCTGTTTTTAACAAAAACATCTCTGCCACGGGATTCAACCCCCGGATCTCTTCATTATAAAGCATCGAGCTTATCTGTAACACTACGCATTGTGATATTTTTATGTTAGTGCTATTCAGCAACATGATTTTTAAAATAATGATTTCAAAATGTTTGGAATCCCCAAAAAGGCCTAAACATTTAAACTGTCTTTGAATAACTAGATTGAGGAAATAGTTTAAATTTAACAGGAAAATAAAGCATAGAGCAAAATACAGCAAAAGAGTGTCGAGACTCTACCTTAATGCAGATAATTGAAAGATGTTTTTATTTAATAGAAACCATAATTACTTTTTTGCATGACGAATTCCTTTAGTGTTGAAAGTTACTTCCTGCTTTCAATGAATATTTCATTTCAACAAATTTAATTCCTTTTAGTTTTTTGGCCCTCACCTCATAAAACAATTGACTGATGATCGGAAGTTTGCTAAGGGAAGCCACAAGCTCATTGGTCGTGAGTCAATAGGTATGGTATCTGCCTATCATCAAAATAAAAATACTGAAACCACAAACCTATTCACCCAAGGTGTACGCCATCAATTTGGATATATTTACATATGCCATGGAATATCTTACAAAATATTGAAGGATCCCTCTCGCACTGCCTTGTGGTTTATCATATACACAGTAACCTTCCCTAAATTTCATATTTGATATAACTGTAGCACAGTGGGGCCAGATTATTTCTGTTGAACAGGTAGTTCAGTCAGTCAGAATGGTACTAGAACAATCTGGAGTCCAGGGTACGATTTCCAGTCGAACTCACTATATTTTAATGCTATGAACAGTCCAGGGTACGATTTCCAGTCGAACTCACTATATTTTAATGCTATGAACAGTCCAGGGTACGATTTTCAGTCGAAGACTCACTATATTTTAATGCTATGAACACTGTTGTTGAATAAATTTTGTTTATTTCATCTTTATTATCTTGCATACAAATCCTGCAAGATATGGCTTTCTTTTCAGAAATGATTTGCCAAAGTTATAGTCATGCCAGAAAAAAATAGTTCCCAATGCACAGTTCCAGTTTTTGGCAGTGGTACGGGGATCAGTAAACAAAGACACCTCTCCTTTAAAGAATTACCACTAAAATATACCACCAAACTCTCTGGTACTACTGCCAAGATATGTACAACAATATTTACCACAAAGATGTTAATCCACCAAGACAATAACCACTAAAATGTATACACATACCACAAAATATATCGCAATGACCACAAAGACGTTCACCCTAAAGATAACATTAAAGCTAATTATGAACTAATTCTCCACAGTGGGGACTTTAACCACTAGGAGTGTTTACTGCTTGTGTATATACACATGTACTACCACTATCTCAGATCTACTGGGAAAGAGTTTCCTCTTCCAAGACACAAAACCTCCAAAGTCTATTACCTACAATTAAACAGTATCTTAACTGCCTGGTATTTACCACCAATCTATGTCATTTACCACAAAACTGTGGCACTTACCACCAATCTTTGTCATCTACCAAACTGTGTAACTTACCAATAAATTATGTCATCTACCACCATACAATCTGTCATTTACCACGAAACTGTGGCACTTACCACCAAACTGTATCACTCACCACCAACCTATACCATTTACCACCGAACTGTGGCACTTACCACCAAACTGTGTCATCTACCACAAAACTGTCACTTACCACCAATATATGTCTTTTACCACCAATCTGTGTCAATTACCACCAACCGTGCCAGTACTGACCATGGCCAGCAGACTATGTCATTTACATTTACCATCAAGTAATATTTACCACCAAATTATTGTCACTGACCACAAAATTGTCTGGTGTTTACCAACACACAATCTGTAATTAACTAACAGTCACACATTTCATATTCCTGACACATTTCTGTGAAAGCCATAAGAACAACCTAGACAATTACCATACTAGGTAATCTTGTTCACGAGACCAAGCACTATTGGCCCTTTTCTTGTTTCTGTACGCGTTAATTACAGGTAATACATTGTTGTACAGAACAGATACGTACATGGACAAATATTTTAAACAATTTACAAAATTTAACCTGCAAAGGTGAGTCGTGCTAATGAATGTGGTTTTTCTGACAGAAATAGCAAATGATTATGGAAATTTAAATCAAACATGTGTTCCTTTGGCATAGAGTTCTCACAAGTCTATTTTAATCCTTGCCTTTATAAGGTCATTTGTATATGCTGATGGAATTCACCATTTTAAGAAAAGAATTAAAAGTGCACTACATAAAAAGCACAGCAATTGAAAGCCACCGAGGAGACAGAAGGTGTAAGAGAACAGGGAAGTTTAGGCTGTTGTTCGATCCAGTGTCGACACTCTCACCGACAAGTATGTACAGTAGCAAAGCCACATCACAGAGAAAAACACAAAACATGTATAATTTACACACAGCGACAAAATGTAACACAGGTAAGTGTTAGCTCATCATTATATAGAGGTAAACAAACTTTCAATTCAAATACAGGTACACACAGGTATTAATTCCTGGTAAAGGATTTACCTGTGACATAAACCATGGGTCTGTATAAATACATTAAAAAGGAAGGAAATGACTGAACTGTGATGTTCAACTTTCGCCCAATTTATCTTTAAATTTTTCATTTTCTATATGAAAAATAAAAATGTGCAAATTTTCAGACTTTCCCCCCAAAATGGATGACTTGGACTTAAAGGTAAAGTTATTTCAGGTAAGACAAATTCATCATATGTACAGGTAAGGCAAGGTACCTTACCGGAGGTCACAGGTACATACGAGTACAAATAATTCACTCTAATTAGCATAATTTACCTCCGGTCATAGACACACAAACAAGTATTCGGTAAGTTATCCCACCTAATACAATTTACCGATATCCAGAACCACAGGTAAATTCTCCAATGGTTGCTGGCTGATGTGACAAATGAAGGATCACACATGAAATTTATCACAGGTAAATACCTGTATCGGTGATTTAGGTTACACAGGTACACCAGTACCTGGAGCGAGACAGTAGTGCTGATGTGTGATGGGTTGAATATTGCAGTGAGTTAAGGAAGGAAGTAGGTGGGTTTTCCTGTACGAAATTTGTATCCTACAGTATATCTATCAGATCTCCTGACCCCCTAGCAGACAAATATTTTGATTTTTCCCTTGCAAGCCTCTATAATGATGCTATTTCTAAGTAAAACAGATCTTAGACAAGGCAAAAGTTGGAGAAATGTAGTAAATTAATTTATACATTTTGTAAATGTCAAGATGAGAACTTCCAAGATAAATCTCTAAACTAACTAGCAACCAGGTAAACAAATTATGTAAAAAGTGTAGTGTGGCAAATTTGTATTGTTACAAAATGTATAAAATAATGTACGCATACAAACTAAAAAAAAGTCACAAAAAATTAAATCTTGCATTTCTAAACAAAAAAATATATGCCAACTCATGTATCCCATGCAATTTACAATAAAATTATTTTCAAAAAGTAAAAGAAATTAAAAAAGTAGCATTTAAGATTAATTCAAAAACAATAGGGAAGGTGAAAGAGGAATCCTGGGAGAAATCTGATATAACAAACAACTCTAGTTCCATACCAATATCCAAATTAGGGGAAAAAATTATTCACAGATAAAAATTCTAAATTAATGAAATTGGGACTACTTCCTGTCACGGACTACTATATGTTTATCAACCAAAGCACTGCGCTATAAATCAAACCACGAATCAACACTACTCTCTCACTCACCTGCAAGGGGGTACTTCGCACCTGATTTCATGGCACTCCCTCCAGAGGGCCCTGGCGTTGTGCTTCCCGAACTTGTCGGGGTGGCTGGCTTGGAAACGGGAGTTGATGCCTTTTCATTCTGAAAAAATAAAGAAACAATCAAATTTAGGTGATAACATTGTGATGTAAATGTAAATGTATGCAAGTATTCATATTCCGAAATTTATGAAAAATTCCAATTTAAGATAGCGAGTCCCTGTGTTTTGTGTGTTGTCTTCAACAAATAAGAGTTCCAATTTATTCGCCATTTCTTAACTTAAGAGTTGCTTGCCCATTCGAAAGGTATTATAAGAAAGAAATATTTTCATTACGATTTCCTTTTTCACAAAAACATCTGTGCAACTGGAACTTGTTCCCAGGACCTTTGATTACAAAGCAAGGTGCTTATTCAATGTACGAGTCTCGATATTTTTTGAGGTTCGGATAACGGAAAATTCGGGAAAGCAGCAATCGTATAATCAGTGTTCTACTAGGTCAAGAAGAATGGTGCCAACATCTTGAAAAACGGTTGAGTTATGGGATCATTTCCCCTGGACGTTTAAGAAAATAGTTGTATACATTACCTCTCGGCCATGTTTGTTGGATGCGACACTTCCATGCGAGGAGGCATCACTCCTAGGACTTATCCGATCCTCAGATTTCTTTGGGAGCTCTTTGGGGACTTTTTCTCTTGGGGATAAGTCTCCATTCATAGGAGGAGCTGTGTCCTAAACAAAAAAAACCAAATATCATTGTAGACATTCGTGACGACAACAGTGATTTTTCAAACGCACATGTTTGAACAAGTAACTTTACGTTTGGATATTATTTGTCATTCAATATTAACAAAATCATTCCGCAAAATAGATTTTGCATGAACCTAGCAGGTTAAACAATTGACCCACCAACCAATAAAAAAAAAACGAAAATTTTCAAGTTAGGATATCAAGCAATGCAATCTTTAAATTGATATTTATTCAAGAGAATTCTAATTTCCTAATTGTAAAGCATCAACTAAACCTAACAAACTGATAATTGAAACGTAACATTATTAACTTTTCCAGACCTTTTTTAATTACTGCAAAATAATCAAACCATGCACAGGTGTTCAAGAATTAAAAAAGAAAAGAAAATCAATTTCAAATAAAATAGATTCTGCACAACTTCAAAAGGATGCTTTGCCTACTTAAATCAGTTGTGAGTTTGCCAATATTTCTTTTATTTTTCACACGCACATCAAAATGTAAATTACGATGAATGCAATTATAAGAAGCCGTACAGTGATTGGTTCGTTGCTTCTCACCTCCCCAACGTCGACAACCAGCTCGGAGTCGCTTTTTTCCGCGTCACTATCCTGAAATACGAATAAACACCAGTGAGGAATAGTGAAAAACATGCCATCACGAAACGACCAACTGTATCGTGACCTGATAATTTGTTTACCCCCCCCCCCACACACACGTCATCACGTCATACAGGGCTAAACTGTTAGAAATGGATAAATTGGTATCAAGAGAAATTATAGGTTTGAGTCATAAGCGAGTAGTTCAGGTGATAATTAACATATTCAGCTGCATTATCAAAAGGACAAAGTTGCAGCATAATGATGTTTGATGGAAAGTGATAAATTCCAAAGGCCACCTAATCAATGGGTGTTTTTATCAGGCAACCAACAATCTGGATTTAAGGAAATTCTGTCTCAGTTGAACCTTTTTATTAAAAATAAAATATCCCTTTTATGGACATCTTAAAACATTTTAATCATTTCGAAGCCTTTTTCATTACCTTTGAAGCATTCATTACCTTGAAGCATTTTCATTACATTGAAACATTTAAGTACTTAAAGCAAGTTCATCATCTTTAAGAATTTTCATTACCTTGAAGCATTTTCATTATTTTGAAGTATTTTTTTATCATCTTTGGTTATTTTCATTATCTTGAAGCATTTTCATTGTCTTCAAGCATTTTCATTATAAACACTCAGTTTTTCAGGAAGCAAAGACCAACTATTCCAACATCGCAAGAAGGAACTATCTTTCTGTTCTGATTAGTCTAGATTAATGACCATTTTACTTACCACAGACTTTTCCTCTGTTCTACGCTTTTTTGATGCATTTTCGTTTACTTCGGGAGTTCGGCTACGGTGTGATGGATATTTTTCGCTGAATTTCTCCGCATATTTTTCTCCGTATTTGTCCCTGTCCCCGGGCGAGGTAGAAGATCTCTGTAAAATTTAATGACAAAATGTCACATACATGCTTTCTCAGAAAAACAGAAGGTCAATGTAAACTATGAAGGCAAACTGTTACATGCCATCTCAGGTGAATATAAGATAATGAAATGGAGGTATCCTGCAATCAAAATATCCAACGTCCTTTATACATGCTTCAATTCAACCTTGTTTGTGTTCTATAATTCAACATCCCAGTTAATACTTCAATTTTATGTCTTCGACAACTTGAAAGACTAATAATTCTGCAAATACAATATGTCCTCCATATCCTGCAGTTTGTGTCCTTTGTGTAACCTGGAACTGGAACTCTAGAATCACATTTTTATTTCTGTATTCCAACATACCCCCATATCAATCCCACTCAGCCTTGTCAAGCTCTACTATGTACAGCACTTGTGTAGCTCAACAGAACGACACTATCACTGTACGAGAGTCTAACGAGGCTAATTAATGCCACGGCTTGTTAATTACAACCGCATCACCTCATGTTGCTTGGCAATACAAGAGTATACGCCTTTGAAATCTACATCAGACAGTTGTGTGCTAAGCCCCTGGTGTACTTTACTAAGTGGCTAGTGACAACCCCAGGACAATTATCACTTGTTTTTAAATTAACTCACTCTGGATGTACTATAACATTTGTTCTATTACTAGAACACAATTAATATTCTTATCTTTTAGAACCTTTCCCCTGTTTGCATGCTGTATTGGTGTGTGAAGGTAAGACAGCCCCCACCATTTTCCCTGTAAAATTTTAAGGATTATTAATTCCAGTTTGCAGACCTTTCTATAGTTTGAAATCATTCCCTGTAATGTTGCAGTAATTTAACCTAAACAACGGTTTTGCTGATGATCCGTTTAGACAGGTTTTACCATAACAACCCAACAATAGTGCATCCTTTGCCTTACATCACGAACTTAACTTGAGTAAAATTCACCGACATGTATTTTAGACAACGGGAGTGGTCGATTGAACAATGTGCAACCAAATTTGACTTTTCTCATAAATTTGAGGTAAAAAAATATTGTTTTGATAACGAATAAGCTTTCAGCACCTTGCAATCTTGATTAAAGTATTTTGATGTGATAATGATGAGCAAAATTTCTGCACAATTTTAAATCAATCACCCTATCAGCATGTTTTGCATTTAAATATTCTGCTTAATAACTTGCCTAAGTCTATAATAAATCCTACAAAAAGCTTCGGGAAATCCGACACAAATTATAAATAGTGTGGAGAAAAAAAATCCCACTGAATGAATGAAAATTGCTTCTAGTCAAATAACCCTGTACTGATTGATAAAACGAAATAAATGTCTCGCGCACTGTCAAGATTTTATAGAATCATATAAAAATGAAATAAATGGACTCACTGTTTAGGAAATAGATGTCTTATCGAACCTACATTTCAGCTTCCCTGTACTTAGTTTAACATTGGAGAAATATGCCCTAAATCAACCCTGCAGCTTGGTTATAAAATACTGGAGATACACCATGAACTGAGATGATAGTGTTTTGATCCACCCTGGACCTACGCAGGCGTCTGATTACGGATGTCGGAACAACAGCCAGCACATACAGGAGGAGACATGCCGGTCTAATAAATACCCTTGGGAGAACGTTTTATGGGGAAAAGATAAAGACAATGGGATATTGATTTCTTCCTGAAATTGCAGTCTAATCCCGTCTCCGGGGTCTTGATGCATGCAGCAAGATCTGAAATTAAATGCCATTGGTTGCTTTAATTCTTCCTCCCCAGATCTCATTACTTTTTAGATCTATTTATAGGGACATTGCCCAAATAAGTTTGTACTTCAATGTATATTGATGTACAAGTAACCATGGCAACGACCTATGTGGGTTCCTGTCCTATTTATGGAAGTAGATGCTTTACTGTCTCCTACACTGCAAAATATCAGACTTCATGTTCATAAACTGATTTTAAAGAAAGAGGTCTTGACCGGAGACCTATTGACCCCTTGACCGGAGACCTATTGACCCCTTGACCGGTGACCCAACGACCCGCTTGCACAACACAATAATTAATCTGTGTAATGCACAGAAATATGCCAATAGACATTGGGCAGAAATTGATGTAATAGGAGAAGTGCGAAAATGTCCTGGTTTACAGTATATATATTATATATTTGCCCTTTCATTTATGCTAAAAAATATTCCATTAAACATGAACAACACAAGCGCAGCAAAAAAAAGAAATTGGTTGAATTTCTTGCAAGTGGCCTTGACCTTTGTTTTTATGGCCTCAAAAAACCCTTAACGCAATCTTAGAAACCTACGCATTCACCTTAAATTCAATGAGGTGCACATAAGTTCACAGTTTAGTTAAGAGCCTATAAATGATTGTAATCCTATCAACAAGTTTATTGCTCACTCCTGAACCTCTCTTGCGATCCTGGAACAGACGCCTTTACTCATCAACGTAATCCCTGGTCCCTAGGACACTCCGGGACTGAGCAGAGATATAGAGTTTCGAGTGACAATGTTCGAGGGTCTTTGTGGGGGATCAGTATGTCTCCTCGATTCTACCTGTATCCCCCGAGTTCACCACCAGTGTTCATCTAGTACAAGGTTTACTATCGACAAACACTTACCTAAAGCCAACAGAGCAAACAATTCGAGAGTGTTTACACTAGGGGATCTCAACACTTGCTAAGCAGTGCTGTTTGTCGATTGTTGTGATACTATTGGTACCCAGTCCACTGAAGCACCTGATAGGCCGCCTTGGAGAGTCAAGTGCCTCACACGATACGCCAAACAGACCCTGATATAGATAGATTAAGGGTTCAGGATGCCCCCTAAACTACACAGGTTTCACAGATTTAGGGGGTTGAGGAAGCCCTTAATATAGTCAAGTGTAAGGAATTTAGGGGGTCAGACAGCCCCTGATATAAATGTACAGGTTCGCCAAGGAATTTTAGCCAGCCTGAGATTTTTAAAGGCCTCCGAAACTTCACAAGTATAAAAGATCAGGGGTCATTGACAACTCACTTTATACAAAAATTTAGGAACCTCTTATATATCCCATATACAAGGATTTACAAACTTCGATATATTACTATATATAAGATTTAGACAGCCTCCGATATTTCACAATATACAAGGATTTAGGGACCTGGAAAACGTCAATATATACAGGATTTAGGGTAACAATTGATCCCCTACAACTGCGATAAAGTCTGATCCAAACTGATTGCTATTTTACGGCCTCTTTATAGCCTATCTTTACATCAAATAGACCTCATCAATGCTTGTTGTCTGCCTCAAGCACTGGCCAAACGGATAATGAACAAGTGCCAATAAGCTGGCATGCAAATTTACCTGACATATTATGTTTATTTAATGATCAATCTGTATCAAGTAAGGATTTTAGCCCTTCTGGAGATGAAGATGCTTAAAAAAAATCAGCTTACATTTCAACAGGTTTACCCTAACCTACCACAGTATCCCCTGACTGCGTAAAAATATCTGCCTTGCAATTTATTCCAATTTATTTGTTCAACATTAAAGTCCACGGGATGTTATCCGCGATGTGTTTTACGCAGATTCTTCTCGAGTGTAGATGGTACCATTTACCCGATAACAAGAATCCGCCTGTTTTTGACAAACTTCTCACTTCTCGCCAGAATGCATGTACACCGCAATACATCTGTAGACGATTCTATATGCTAATAAATCTCGAAGCTCTTCACAGATATTTGTGCCTTCGTAAAGAGATGACTTAAAAGATTACCAGATTTTTTATTTTGAACAGATATTTTTGCTTCCATTAAGAAAGAGTCGGATGAAGATTGCGAGATTTATTTATCGACATGAACCAGAGCAGGTCAGGGGCCAAGAATGGCAATTGAACAGACAACAGGTGTGCCATCGTCATCAAGCCAACTCTCAACATCCCATTTGCAGAGTAATCTTGAAATGAAATTCAGAAGCTCGTTTCAAGTCTGAAGATACACATCTTTGACACAGTCAGTGCCAAACGCCTCAAATATCTCAATAAAGAATAGATTTCTGTTCTCCTCAGCTTTTAACAGCTCCAGCATAATTTCTAGAGATTACCATGTTCAACGATTACATCATGTGAGTTTCTTTGTTTTCGCTGTGCCTGGCGGATCTTGAGCTAGCTCATTTATTTCCCCCTTATCCCCTTGCCAATTGAAACATAACATTGGGGATTGCTATCTTCCTGCTCTCGGCAAAATATGATTGATTAAAAAGCGACGTTTTTGTCCTAACCAATGTTTCTTATGCAGATAGCCAAAAATGTTATCCTACAACTTTCAAAATTATTTTTAATGAAGCTTATCTACAACCCGGAGCTGCCAGATGTTGAGAAAGGTCCCGGCTTTCCTATGTCAGTGTATTGGTAGTTTTGATTGTACTATGTGGGCTGCCAAGTTCAAAACCCTACGAATGTATCTATCTTTAATAAAACAAGGATGGTGCTTTATTTTAAGAATTGAATTTAAAATCAGCTCGGAAAAATATGCACAAGTAAAAAAAAAAGGAATTAAAAGTGTTTGTTTGTGGTTTTTCTGGTCTATGATTGGCTGCATGGGCTGGCAATTGTGCCGAATGAAGGACCATGTGGAGCAACTTCTAACCATATGGTTAATGACCATTTAATGGCATTCAGCTGAGGAGCCCCTAAGATCTTATATAACCTAGTGTTATTGCCTCCCGGGTTTTTTTTCTTGCTTTTTTCTTGCGTTTACAACAAGTTGTAGCATTACTTTTGGGAAAATGCGGAAACAATCTACATAAAAAAACAGTTTTGAGAAAATTTACTGGTTTTATTACACAAGCTCTTATTGAAATGTAATCTCTTGTGTTTTTTCTTGTTGAAATCAAAGCTTCCTTGATCCAGAAGCCATCAGGTACTAAGTGAGATAACGGCTACAACTTCAGAAGATGCTAGGGGGTACCAAATTTACCTCCTTTAACTCATTCACCCCTGAAATTTAATAATGAAC